ATATAACACTTATTATATATATATCTCTCCACACAAATACACACAGAGTATATATATATATATATATATATATATATATATATATATATATATATATTGATCTAAATAATTAGAGTCAACCTATTGCAATTTTATTTGAATATATGTTACATAAATTATGTAGTGAATAATATTTTAAGGACTGCAGCACTGTTATAAATAACTGGGTGGGCATTCAAGTGGCCTCCTGTTACCATTAGTGCTGCTGCAAGTCTGCTGTTCTTTGGATGTATGATTGACTCTGTGAGATGCCTGATGGGGCAGCACAGTGTAATGGCCCATCGCTAGATGGGCGCTTCCTTCAGTGAGGCAGGGATGTAGCATTAGTTCCACTGAGTGAGTCAACCATCTGCCTGGCATTAACCCCAGAACCCTCCTTCTCTTTACAGGCTGGACAATTTGCTTAATATGGCCTATGGCGTTAAGAGGTAATTAAAACTTCACCGAATGCCAGATGTCCATGTTTGACAGTATGATTTTTTTCCCCTTCTTTTTGAAAATCACATGCATTCAGTTCAGTTCAAGGTTTTTTTTCCCTTCTCTTTAGTTCGTTTGCCTTTTTTTTTTTACTTGATTATTTTTATTTCAACCTACCAATCTGTAGCCCTAAAAGTGTAAGTATCTTTTATAATTGGTAGTGTTTGGTTATGATGATTCAAACATTTTTATGAGTTCCGTTTTGGTATTTTGTGTTTTATTGTTGTGTAGCTCCTGTTTTGAAGCGTGGCCTCCACAGGATTCAGGGGCTGAAGCCGTACCTCCGTCCAGTTCAGGGTTACACGCTGCCAACAATTGAACAAAATTATGTATATTCCCAATGCATTACATATAACAGCTAAAATGCATAGATCGATGGAAGGCTATTATGTTTTTCATCTACTTGTTTCCATTTTATTTGTTGGAATGAGCTGGTCTAGAGCGAGACGGAGGGGGTGACAGCTCACCTGGATCCCTGCAGGAAATGTAGTATTTCACTGCAGGTTTAGGAGCCTCGGATCAGTTGGGTTTGCTCATGTTCTTTTGCTTTGTGCTGCTGTGGATGTAGTGAAAAGGCTTCTTTTGAACATGTTTTAGTGCTTATGACATTTTGTTGCATATTTTAGTATCTATTGAAACACTTTGATGTCCCTCGAACACTCAAGGTTAAGATGGAGGGAGTAGCATGAAAGGTTGTGCATTGTGCACGTTTCTTTTTTGTTTTTTACAGATACTCTCTGTTAAGACTAAAGGTTCCACATTTACTAGATTTCTCCTCTTTCTAGAAAAGTCCTTTGCGTTTTGGCACTGGCTGATCAGAATCTAACGATTGTTGTTCGAAAGAAAACTTGCTTTTTTTTCTTTTGCTAAATCTGACATGTAACTGGGAAGTGCAACAATGAAACAGGATATGCAAACGAGGCAGCGGCGTCTTTCAAAACAAATGACGAGACAAAAGATTTCTTTTTATTTACACGTGCTGCGATCAGCTGTCAAATAAGCCCGTCTGCCTCAAGAGAGGGAAAATTTAGGGGAGATGAAACCGACAGCGGGCTGGGGAGGCGTTGTGCTCACAGAGCACGCCATGGAAGGTAAATAATGAACAAAGACCAGTCTGAAGAAGTGAGCATCGCTAGGTGAAGGTGGGCAGCTCGGAAGGGTGGGATGGCTCTAGGTCAGTCGCTTGTTGCTATGCAACTCCTCGTCCAACTGTTCGCCTTAGTTCGAACAACAGATAGCGCTCGGCCCTGCCCTAGTAGTCACCAGACGCCTCTGTGTCAGCAATCCACTAGCCCGCAGATGACTGGCATCCAAATTACCACGAAGCCATCTTCAACGAATAATGGCTACGGATTCATTATTTACACAGAAATACCAGCATAATTGAAGTCATGAGATGGTTGCTTGTCACAAGCTGCAAAGTGAGCCGACTTACCATTATACCCTTCATTTACATAATGAGACGCAAGCGACAGGACACAAAAGCGAAAGAGAGAGACAGATGTATTGACTCTGCCAGGACGAATGGGCTAAAACGCAGATGAAACGTCTGAGTAATTCTTGGCAGAACAAGAAGCAGGGAATTGGCCGGCCATGTAGTCCGTGCAGTGCTATCGATCACAGTCACACACTGCGGAGCGGCAGAGGGTGTGGGTGGAATACACTCTGTTCCCCGTGCTAGCTGGCTGGAAAGCGCCGCTTCCATTTTCTGCTCGCTGGCAGCTTCCTATCCCCCTCCCCAAACCTTTCCGATTCGAAGACGACGACGGCAGCAAAGTGGAAATCTCAATTAAAGCACACCCCAATAATGCCTATAGTCATTCCTTGAGAGGTGGCACACGAAATGAACCTTTTATCCAATTTACCTTTTATTTAAAGTGGAAATTTCCTTTAAGCGGAAAGGCAATTAAGTGAAATCAACTGAGCATTCAAATCTCTGTATCATGAGGGAGGAAAAAAAGGCAAGAATGGAAAGATTACAAGGAGAATGAGAGCAGATTTACTCGGTTGCATGTGAAATCTCTGATGAATTTCGAAGGTATTAATGTGCAGAGTTCCTGTAATTTAGTTCCCCAATAGATCCTGCGTCTCGGCACCCGTCGCGGCCCCCCGCAGCCAGCACCGGGCGCAGCCTTTTCACTCAGAATTTAAAAAAACCCTCCGGTTGCCTTCCGCCTGAAAAACAAGGAGCAGATATTTAGACAGGCTGAAAAGATTGTGGCACTGAAACTGTTAGTATAACCCTTGAAGGGTCAGCTAGAAGTTTGACTAATGGCAGCTTGACTTACGCATCTTCCTCACTCTCTCTCTCGTCCTGCAGGTTCTCCCCCATCACCATCGATAGCATGACCAGTCTAGTAGGGATGAATATCCCCGGTCACACAGGAACGGGCTGGTGCATCTTCGTCTACAACCTGTCGCCGGACTCAGACGAGAGTGTCCTGTGGCAGCTCTTCGGACCGTTCGGCGCCGTCAACAACGTCAAGGTGATCCGCGACTTCAACACCAACAAGTGCAAGGGGTTCGGCTTCGTCACCATGACGAACTACGACGAAGCGGCCATGGCCATCGCCAGTCTGAATGGGTATCGGTTGGGTGACCGTGTCTTGCAAGTGTCTTTCAAGACCAACAAGACCCACAAGTCCTGAACTCCCCACCCATCACTTGTGTAGCTCCTTACAGCTCCTCTAATACTAAAAACCCACCTCTGCCCACTCAGCTACTCAAAACAGGAACACACCAACCAACAAACCCACAAAAAAGAACTGGATATGGCTTATAATATAACTTTGGACCTATAAGCCAATGTTGCCTAAGTATTACAAAATGACAAATTGAGAATATTCATTATTTGGAGACCCTGGAAGTGGTACAGGGATTCTGTTGTATATCTTCTTGAGTTCTTGTGGTTGTCTTTACTTTTTTCTTTTTTTTCTCTGTAAACAGTAGCAAAACCAGACCGCCCTTATTTTGAAGAAGAAAATGTCCTTCTTTAGATCGAACTCTCTTGGTGTCGATTCAGGATTTTTTCTTTCTTTTTTAAATCCGGATCCACTGTCGTTAGAATAACGCCTCCCTGGTAAGAGAACAGGAGGGGGCTCTTTTTAAAAAAAGAAGAAGAAAAAAAATCGGTGATCATTCATTCATTTGTTTTGGTGTAAATTGTTAGAGATCCCCAAAATGAATTGACAGGGATGAGGCCATCCCTTTTCTCTAATGCAGAAGATGTTTCTAGCATAGTTTTGGTTTTGTACTGCAAACAAAACACACGTCTGTCCTCACGGGGGATTCAGGGGGAAGGGGCGAGGGAAGGGACGGGCTAGCGCTCCTGATGACACGTTGCGTCAAAAAAAAAAAACCTACACACACACTGTTGCCAAAGAGAAAATCTCTTTGCTTGAAAATGCGTTTAGAAAAAATTAAAAAATAAAGAGAAAGAAGATCTATTTTTATAAATAATGATTAAAATAATTATTGAAGAATTTTTACAAGAATCTGGATTTGAAAAAAGAGAAAAATATTTTGACTGGCTAATTAGGGACGGGGGGAGGGGTCAGGTGCCACCTTGTCTTGTTCGTTCTGCCGTGGTACTTTTTAGGATCCAAGGTCGTTTGTTTTTCGGGGAGAACCGGATTGGCGATGGAAGAATTTTGTAGATGGAAGAATTTATCAAGGGATGCAAATTCAGGCAGGTAATTTTTCATAGCAGTAATTATTCAACAGCGATACCCAATAGGAGAGGGAGAGGGGTCTTCCCAGGCCAACCACATCTTCACAGTCAAGAGCCCAAAGCAAGGCCACTCATCGTCCACTCATTTACGTTAGACCATCCATCTTTGGGATAGAAGTAATAAAGATACACACGCGTGCGCGCACACACACACACACTTCTTTCTCCATTCGGACGACATATACATGGTTATGTTTAATTCGCTATGATTTTGTGATATCGCATTCGAGATGTACTTCCTTTAGCGATCAACAGTAGGTGCTATATTACATGGTTCACATATCTTAAATATCCAACTTTGTTGTTCTTCGTGTTGTTTAGAGAGAAAAAAAGAATATTTCGATGTTGGCATTATATTAAGCTGCTGTTTTTCTTCTTTCGTTGATGTTTATTCTTTCGAAATCGCGGTCGTCAGTCGCCGTCTGGTCTGGAGAAAGCCCAGACGAACAAATTCGGGCGTCCACGACGATGTTCCTTTGGCTTGCTTACTTCTAGGTTATTTGCTGAGTGTACAGCGTTTGTCGAAATTCAGCGATAATTAGCTAGTTCTGTTAGTCTAGTATTTGTTTCCTCAAAGGATCTATTACGACTGTGTCTTTCTTTGTTGTGTACAAATAGATGATATATAGTCAACATTTTCTGTTCCAATATCTATATCTATCTGAGTTGTCACTGTTTTTAGTTCGGGATTGTCTTTTTTCATATGAAAACTTTATGAAGTGATGGTTCAGTTACTTAGAAAAACTCGTGAGGAATCCTGTTTAATATGTTGTCATGTCGCTTGTGAAGATAAAGAAAAAAAACGCAAAAAAAAGAACTGAAAAATTGGATCGATTTATTTGATTTACCGCCGCAGCAAAAGAAATCGAACAAAAAGCTTCTTGAGAAAAATCTATTTATTTATTGATCGATTGATTGATTGTCTCATTGATTAAATTATTTATTTATCTCGATTATTTATTTATTTACTTGTTCCGTTCTTATGTTGTCTGTGTTTTTGCGTGATTCTGGTACAGGGAGGGGGGTCTTTCTGAGCTAAAGGGAACAAATGACTAGGGGAGACGCTCTTCCATTAGTCCTGTGCACTGAGAAATTTTAGTACGTTTGTGCTTTGTACCGATATATCAAAATTACAATACAAAAAAATTTTAAAGTCAAAAACGAAAAAAATGTCAAGAGGGTTGGTGAGGCTCTTCCCTTATTAATAGAAACAGTTACTCGCTATGCATAACCTAGCCGATAGTTCAATTTGCTATTGCTTTTTTCTTGTCTTGTTAAACATAAATCTTTTTCAATAAAGTTTAGTCTTAATAGAATGTTATAACAGTTGTTCTGGTTCAATATAACCTGTGATAAGTTTGTGTAGTTTTAAAAGCCACTTCCCGCCCTCCCTCCACACACTACCGTTGCTTTGTGATTAAACTTTATGCAAAAATGTGGGTCTGAAATGTAGTTTCTCATGGATCTCGATGACGTTTATGTCAGGCTTTGCTGCCCTAATTTGATTGATCGATATGTGTCCATTGTTTTAGTATGATTCATCGACTCATCTGAACTGTAACCTTCATTTATACCACATTGATACTCCAGAAAAAGGAGAAAAGTATAAAAAGCATTGACTCTGATTGTACTGGTTGAACAAAAATAGCTATAGCAGATAATATTTGATAGATGACACCTGTTATATATTTTCTAAGATATAGTCTATTTTGAGAGGTTATCTTCCTAAATGGAGAGCTCGACTCTTGTTAAGACCAGTGTGAATGCTGGAGAACGAAAAACAAAAGTCACGTTCATGAGCAGTCTTACATTCCTCCACCTCTAATGCCATCCATCCTCCTCTGCTCCGTCTCTAAGGGGGCGGCGACATGGCCCTTCTCAAACCCCGCTGCGGCTGGGAGTTTGAATTATGCAATGACCCCAGTAGAATGTTGTTCTGATGTACGAACAAATTTCCTGCATTATGTCCTCCTCTTTTGGTTAATGGCATCACCCTCCGCATGTCTGAGCGTGGATGACTGCACGGGAGAGCGTCTAGGACGCACGAGAATTTGCGGGGGTGTTGGAAACGCGGGGCCGTGCCTCTATAGTGCGTGCCCATATCGCATTGTCTCTCCCCCTGTAGCGCCTTATAGTGGCAGCCTGCCAATAGGAACCCATCAGCCAGTAGTGTAGGAGGGAAGGCAAAGTGAGGAACAAGGCTCTTGTCATAATTCATTTTCTCCTGAAATGTGTTTGTTTACTATCTGAAAAATCTATAAATCTTTAAAGATGAAAAAAGATTAAAAAAAAGATTAAAAAAAGTTCACCGGACCAAGCTGGTCTCTCCTACTTACGTTATTACTTATCTATCGATTATTGATTATTGTTACTATGATTAATATTATTCTCATTATCCTTATTCTTATTACGAATCAAATTACTGCGATGAATGACTTCATGTTATCCTTGCTAGTTTAGGTCATTTCTGAAACTGGAAACAAAATATGGAAAAAAAATACTTGCTGTAAATGTTTTTTTCTTTTTCATAAAACTGTTGTGTTTGAATTATTTGTACTTTTGAATGTTGGGACAATAAAATAAGGTGTTGAAAGCTGTGTGCTGCCATGTCTGTGTTCAAGAAAAAGAGGCTTGCTCCTCACGTAACACAAGGTGATTTAACTAATACCCACTAATCTTTCAAATATTCCTGGGAAGTTTCATTTTCTCAAGACCCCGGAGGCACCAAATGTCACTTGAGCTGTACCTTTTTGATAAGAACTTGATCAGTTATCCCAATGAGCGTGAATGCCAGCGTTATTACTCACACAAAAGTTGAGATTGGCAGAAAGGCACAGAAACTTCCAGTAGGTTATTATTACATTAAGCAAATCCTCTCCTAGGCTGTACTACAGAACAGACAGATGTGATGTAGTGAGACATGAGAGCACAGCGCCCCCTGTTCCCTTCCTGGAGAATTACTGCAGCTCTGCCCTTCAAATACTACAAGCAGCCATGCTTTAAAAGCACACACAGTTTTAAATTAAAAAGCTTTCATAAAAAGCAAATAGTAGTAGAACATGGTAAAATACAATGATGTTTAATATTTAAAATTATGTACACTCACAATAGAGGAAGAGTCCAGTCACATCAGTCTTCTAGAAAAATCTCGTCTCCTGGCATCAATAAAAACAATAATAAATAGTGTTATATAGTGCTTTCAGCTAGTGCCCAAGACATTTTTATAAAGTTTATCTAAACAGAACAATCAAAACAAACAATATAATAACACACTATATTACAGACACAACTCAACCACAGAACACAGTATAACAATATATACCAGAAAACAAGGATAAATGCTGGGAAATCAGAGGCCAAGTACCAAGTTTGTGTGAACTAGAATTGAATTTGTATTAAGGCAGCAAACAAGATGCAGAATTTGAATAAAGCATTAAATGAACTAAAAACCCAAGAAGCATATACAACTGCAACGAGTGTCATTTTTAACTAGAAAGCTTTGACAAACTTTAAGTGATGGATTCACAAAGTTAAAGATTGCTTAAAACTTCTTGAAGTATAAAGGTATTATAGGACTTACAGACAGATAAACAGATGTTTAAAATATAGAAAATGAAGAAGAGACAAAGAAAACATAATTAGTGCATCTTTAACTAAAAAGTAAGCAAATATAATTCAGTTAACTGTTGAAACAAAAAGGCATATCCACCTAACAAACAACACTTGTCATTTCATAACTAGAAAATATTTAAATCCCCTTTAAAACATGGCTTCACAAAATCTTGTCTGAAAGTTAAAGATGCTTAAAAATTCTTAAAGTATAACGTTTTATATGGTCAAAAAAACTTTTTTATTATTATTTGTACTTAAATCTATAAGTACAAATAAGAAGAGCACTTAATTTCCCAGAATTCCATTAACTGTGCTAAATTAACTTCCTTTAATTCAAGTTAAACTTTCTGTGAGATATGGCCACCTCACCTCAAATTCCAACTCAAATAGTCAAAAAAGGAACAAACGCAAGATAAACAGCTTTTGGTAAAAAGCAGCAGCGGATAAACAAACTTCACACATCAGGTGTCAACACAAAGTCTAAAACGACTAGGATGAAGAAGAGCCACATGAAGAAAATGCCATTTAAATAAAAAGTAAGCAAATATATTTAATTCATTTATCACCCCTGAAACAAAAAGTACAGCCCTATTCACTGACCATTTGTATTGACGTATAACTGAATACGCAATTTGCCTGTGGTGGCATTTATAATATCAAAATGTGGTGTAGGATTCATTAAAGCAAATTAGTATGGTAGTGGGTGCTCTGATTCACCACATGGATGCTTGGCCTCAGTTTGTGGCCTGTGGCGTTGGGGTGGGCAGGGCTTAATGGTGGTCTATGTCCTTGGAGTGGGCATGGCTCAATGCTGAGCTGAAGGGCAAAAGGGGCAAGGGGTGTGATAGAGCCATCAGGTCGTTCCAAGTCTCTTCACACCGTTAAGGATTTAATGAGGCAAAAGCCTCATGAAGGAAGAGAATCGGCATCATGAGTCATCTGCCTACTCTTTAAAAATTCCTCGACTACCCACAGTCTCCTAACAAAGGCAGGAGATCTGATACTGAATCTAACTGATGGGGCTCATATCTTCATTACACGACGGCTACACCTTGTGAGGTATCTGCTGTGAAAAGACATGGCAGATGAGTAATGCACACATCCGCCATTTGATTGCTGTCTTCCGTAAACATCTGGCATGTGACAAATTATTATGCAATGCATCTCACAATCTGACATACATTTGCTCTGAAGATAAGGGGTTATGTCATTCACCATGAAATGGAACATGAATATATTCAACAGCTAGATAGGTCTCTCTTGATATGAACATATGACCAATGCTGAATATCTCAAGACTAGTGCACCCAGTGACTAATATAATACTGATGTATTTTGGACACTTCAGTCACACTAAAAATAGTTACAAAATATTTAGTTTGCATTACATTCAGCCAGAAAAATGTGCTTGTGATACATGTATTTTTAAAAATAAACACCACTTGCTATCATAGTCTGTTGTGTACATTTATTTGCATTATATCAAACTTAAGTGTCCAAATATAATGTAATATTATATAATATAATTAATATAATATAACTAACAAAATGGCCACAAATTTGATTATTGAAATTATTGAAGGCAATTTCCTCTTCTAAATAAAAAAGGTAATTGCAAGTTTATTTCTTTAATTGTGGTATTTTTATAATTGCAACTTTATATTTCAAAATGATTTTATCATTTATACACCACAGATGCAACTTTATTCCTCATTATTTACATTTATTTTTTTGTTTTGTTTTTTGTTAGAGATTTTAAAAAAGCATATTCCATACAAAACACACCTTACATATATTTCTGTGTAAAAATAATACACATAAATTGTACATTCATCACTGTTGACTGCAATTAACAAAGAAGAGCTACCACTTATATAACATGGTTTAGTATTTCAAAGGAGCTAGATATAACTTGATTCAACTGTCTAGTCCATATACTATAATGAAATAATATACTACAAGCTCGGACTACAATCTACACTTGATGAAAGAAATATACCTCTTACATGTACTAATCAATATATCCATCAAAAAGGCATCTTACTATTTAGTTGTGACTTTTTCACCCCACTCCACGCTGAGCGCTCCATTAATTCTGCCATGAGGAAGAGCTGGGCAGCTGCAGCATTTCTGAGTTGGACAGTCTGTGGTTTGAGTTCCTCTCACAACCCGACACATATGGCCCGCTGGCTTTGCTCTCTCTCTCTTTCTGTCAGACGGCGTGTGGCCGTTCACCTCCCTGCTAGGCTCTAGGGGCGAGGGAGAGATGGTGGTTTGGGTGGCAGGGCTCCCCTCTGGCCGGGGCCCAGGATCTGGTGCCTGTTTATTAGGAGACAGACGGCATAGGTCTGCTTCATTCGCTTCATTCTTCAGTCTCAGACCATGCGGTCCAACATCACCAGTACCACCATCCACTGGCATGGATCTCCAACTTACTAATCTACACACACACACACACACACACACACACACACACATACCATTTGTTATAGTTTTATAAAGTTTGCACTCTTTTAATCTCCATTATGATTCTTTTTTTGTTGAATAAATAAAAAAAATTTGATAGTAATTTTGCTAGTTATGGATTGTAAAAATGCTACAGTAAAAACCTGTTAATTGGTTAATGGTAAGTTTCCTTACTATATACACAGTAAAATGAAAACCTGTAATAGATCTAATCTAATGGGAAATTTAATGTAATTTTATAGTAAAATACTGTTAAATGTTTTTAGTATAATACTGTTACTGTTTTTAGAAGTGAAAAGAACAAGTCATCTTATATTTTACAGTGGAAAAACTGTAAATGGACAGTGCCAGAATTCTCTGTGATAGATCACATTTTCCTTCTTAGTTTTTTTCTTATCAGTTATGTAAATTAGGGTTTTATGACATCTTAAGTTGTTAATGTTTTTATTGCATGATTTTAGTGTCATATCTGTTACCATGATGGTGTTTTGTATGTGTGTGTATGACAACAGTAAAATGTAAAATGATGCTACCATATTTTTTAAATGGCAAGTTTTGGCAACCGCAGATGCTGATTTTTACTGTAAATTTCACTGATTTTTTTTTTTAAGTGTACGTATTAAAAAACAATGATTGCTTGATTGTTTTTTAAGATTTTGGACATTTCGGAACAAAAAAAAACTTTTAGAAAATAAGTAGCATTTTTATCCCCTTTAAATCAACACCACTAGAGCTATAACATGGGGGGGGGGGGTGATTTTATGTTTTACAACTGCCACATTATACCTTTTATATAACTAATCTTAGATATGTCCTTATATCTAAAACTTTTCTTAGGGTTTTTTTTTTCATGTTGTACCTAAAAGTACAACAACTTCAGCTTGGTTTGATCTGGTCTCTGATCTGTTGGCTGAGCCAAAGACCAGTTTGACCAGGCTGTCAGACCAGCTAAGACCATCTAAAACCAGAAAACAAGCTTAGACTGCATGTTTTAGATTCTTTTTCAGCAAGATTCATACAGATATTTCCATTTTTATCCTAAAACCAGCTTAATTATTCTGGACCTCATTAGGATTAATTACTCTAGTTGTTTAAGCAATCCACCAACTAGTCGTGGTTAAGCACATCTCTAGTGTGGTGTAGACAGAAATATCTACTGCCGTTGGGGCCTCTTGTATTTTCATTTTATGAGAT